AGACTATACTGGACACACCGACGCCATCGTCATTGACCAGTAAGTTTGCTTATACATAATCATTAACACTATGATGGCTCAATCCAAAGGGATACCGGGCAGGATGGGACTTTTCGGCATCAGCCGACAATCCCATGCATCTTGAAGATTCAGTCCGCGATAAGGGGAAGGACGGAGCTTCGCAACACTTCTGCCTCCCTTAATGACGCTCCTCTTGCCTTTGCCTTGCGAGGCTACTGGAAAGGCACAATTATTGCGGATCTCCACCCATCCCTTTATCGCGGAATGCGATATCAACATGAGATGAACCCGTAGACGAGGAACAAACCCATCACGTAGAATAGGGCTTGTTTTCCACCTACCACCCAGTGGTATTCGGTTCCCCTTTTCCACCTACCTACTAAGATCCAGCATTTTAGTGCCTATCACGGACATGTCACGACAACGATGCAAATGTCGCCGTACAAGTTCGACCACGGTTCAACGCTGCCACAACCCGAATGGGTTCATGTGGTACGTAATTTTTCGTCAAAAATGCCTCAGACATACTTCTGCGGAGAAAGTTATCTTCAACATGTTTCAGGCTCCTTGTCCCGATGTGTATCGTGGTGAGTACCGGTTGGCAGACAGCGAGCTGAACAACCCGGAAAAGCTTGAGAAAGCTGGAATCTATTACTCTGACGCTGTCAACAATCTTATTCAAAAGGTGAGCTTTTAATCCTATTCTCCCAGAAAATCCTAGTATTGTCCAGGATATCCCGGGTCTCCATAATGGTTTCTGGAGGGGGAACAGACCTGTCTTACCCCCACTTTAAAGGGAGGGATCAAAAGCGGCTTTACTAACTGTTGTTAGAGATGACTTCAACTTTTGATACCGTTTGCTACTTGAAAGTAAGGAGTAAGTCAGGATCAGGTGATCATTCGGCTGACAATTTCTATATCTCCGATTAGTGTGCCCATGTACCCCTCACTGCCGTCGTTTTGCTGCAGACGTCAAGGAGGCTGGGCTTGGCGCAGCGCCAGCACGTTTTCTACCAATTGTTGTAAGGGAAAGCGACGACAATAGGTGGAAAACGGGCTGGCGCCGTGCCAAACCCGGCCACTTGGCCCAGAGTCTGCAATGAAAATGGCTATATGCCGACCATGGTCTTCAGTTCGCGGAAAAAGGCAAATGAGTAGAGCCTTTCAATTGGAAGTGCATTGCTTTGCTTCAGGCTGAGTCCAACGGACGAACCGTAGCCGCCTACTTTGCCGAAGCTCTTCAGTCCTGTGGTGGGCAGGTTATTCCACCACCTGGCTATTTCTCCGATGTAGCAAGGCATGTGCGAAATCATGGTGGTGTTGTGGTCATCGACGAAGTTCAAACTGGATTCGGTCGGGTCGGATCCAAATTCTGGGCACATCAACTATTCGATGACGGTAAGTTTTACCTTACCTCTGTCAATCATTCATTACTGTTCTACTCTGTATTCACATATACAGGTTTCTGCCCTGACATTGTGACTATGGGTAAACCAATGGGTAACGGTTTCCCAGTGTCCGCAGTGGCGACGACGAGGAAAATCGCCGATGCGTTGGGTGGAAACGTTGGATACTTCAATACGGTAAGCTGTTGGTTACTGTAGATGTGGTCTGCTTTATTTAGAGTAACGTTTTAGTACGGAGGAAACCCTGTAGCGTGCGCAGCAGTTTTGGGTGTGATGCGAGTAATTCGAGAAGAGAAACTCTTGGAACACAGCCAACAAATGGGAGAGGAATTCGAGAAACAGTTGAATCAGCTCAAGAAGAAGTATCAATGTATAGGGGATGTTAGGTAAGTATTTGATCTGTTAGGTGAGAAAAGATAAAACGGAGCGTCCCAAGTATCCCTAACTACCGTGGGGGTACGCCACGCACTGGATTTCGCTTCAGTATTGTAAAAACTTGTGAAGCACCCAGGAACCGTACCCTAACCTGGTGCGATTAGAATTGATAGTGT